GAGATTCGGGAGGTTCGCGCCATGCCCGGCCGATTCTGTACCTACACTTCACCCGACGGAAGCGCAACTGTATGTGGATTTCCTGTGGTCTTTGACTGCACCGCCAAGAAGTACAAATGCAGCATGCAACACTTCTCAACAACTTCTAGCGACAACCCCAAGATTGTGGTTGTCTTTGACACACATGGTACGTAGATGATTTCTTGGTATTACTACTTTGAATTCACTTACACTTATCACTTATGACATGGTGAGGCTGCTCTTCTTTGTGCAATACCATAAATTCCCCCCTATTATACATCATGTTGCATGCATGTACGTAGCTGGCAAGGATTCTCGCACGGGGGTGCTCGCCACAGTGAGTGCCGAAGTGATCGAGACAATCTTTGGTAGCTTCGGTTTTAAGGACTACATGAATGCGAATGCAGACAAGAAGATGGAAATACTGGCAGCTCTACACAAACATTGGCGAGCTGAGGTGAGATCCTATTGTTGTACACAAGGTGTGATGCTTTTTATCTATTTAGAATATCTTCATCCTAATTCATTTATAGATTAAGCTAGTTGTAATGCCTTTGCTCGAAATGCCTTATTGCTACTTCATTTTTTTATTTTATTCCCAACCAATATTATTGGTTTACTCTTCGATTGCACCATGGCATTATTGTAATGCATTTGTTTCTTATAACCTAATGCAGATGGGGGTGATGATAGCTGGGGAAGCAATCCAGAGGAAAATCACCTCAATTGAATGCGGGCCAGCGAATGTGAGCAACTTTTTTGTTCTATTATATCTTTGTACTTTCTCAAATTGCAAACTCAAATCCATACCCATTAAGACCTGTAATTTTGATTGTCTTTATGAAACCAGGTTGGAAATATGTCAACAAGGAATGCCAACAACAAGCGCATTGCGTCAAGCATTACACCAAGTGAGCCTGGAACGCCCATGAAGCACAACAACCGACGTGGCGTCTAAACCGGTAGATATACATACAACCTTTTCTTTTATTCTATTCCTCCAATTTCCTTCTGATGCCCTCCACTCCACCAGGCCTTTTGTCTCCCCTATTCCATGGCTTTGATTCCTCTTATGTACTTTACACTGATCGTAATTTTTTATGTGTAAACCATTAACTCGGAATGCTAGAGCCCATCTTCCTATCTCCACCAGTTTGTTCTTCACCTTTTCAATCAGGTCTCTTGCAAGACAATTCTCACAATTGACTAATTTGTAATGCATTTTGTCATTGAATGTATGTATAGCTGTACGTGTGCAAACTAACAACGCACTAGCTATTGGCGTACTATTTGGTAGCCCATTAGTTCATACCTCAATACTGTACAATCTTCTAGTAATTTGCAATTTCTAGTGCACTTGTGATGTGTGAACTTGGTGTTGGCGCTCTTGTTGCTATTCAAGTAGCTTTCACTAAGGTTCACAATTTCTTTGAACGTGTCCTTTTCCACTCTCACTTCATGCAGGCCTGCTTTTGTGCATCACCTAAGTTCCAGAGGGGCTAGCGAAAGATAAGCAAGGGCGGAGTGGAAGGAGGAGGGGGGGGAGGGAAGTTGGTGGGGGGAGGGCAGGGAGAGGAAGGAGTGGGGAGGGACGAGGGGTGCGGATGGTAGGGATGGTACAGAGGAGCAGGAAAAAGGGGGGGGGGGGGGGGGGGGGAGGGGGGAGTATCCTTTATCTAAGCCAAACTTCTCCATATTTGAGTTATTGTTGGTTGTTGTGTGAAACTGTAACATCGCATACACCCATGATGTGTGCGCCTCATCTTTCATTCCCTCCTCTTCTTTCCCCAGTTTATATTGAATGTGTCTGCATGCGTGGGTGGATGTTGGATTGCATGGTACTTGGGAATCGTTACGTAATAACCGTTATCGTTGTGTCGTGTTGTGCAACATTGGAGCATGCATGCCAAGCGTATCCATCTCTTCCCCACATATTCCCTGCAATCATCTCTCATGCCCTCATATTCAATCTTGCCCACATTCCGTGTCCTCATATTCGGTGACCTCATAACTCGTGCCCACATATCCCGTGCGGTCATATTCCGAGCCCCCATATCCCATGCCCTCATACCTCGTGCCCATATCATGTAACTCCACTAATCGTGCCCCTAAAACCTGTGCCCTCAAATCGCGTCACTGCATATCATGTGTCCTCATTTTCCCAAGTCCCCACATGTTCTTTACCCCTGCGTTTTGTCGTAGAAGCATTCGTATACCATTTCATCGCGTTGACTGCATCATCATATGCTTGCATGCCGTACGCGCTCGTTTTGTACTCAAGCGTATCGTTATGCTGTACCAATGTCGGAGTGATGTATAGATGCCAAGTGCACTGCGTGGATGGCGGTTGTCGTTGTCGGCTTGGAAAGCGTTGCTTCCAAAACGTACATGTCAACCCCACTCGCAGCACGGAAGCATTCGTGTATCATTTCATCGCGTTGACTGCATCATCATATGCTTGCATGCCGTACGCGCTCGTTTTGTACTCAAGCGTTTCGTTATGCTGTACCAAAGTCGGAGTGATGCATAGATGCCAAGTGCACTGCGTGGATGGCGGTTGTCGTTGTCGGCTTGGAAAGCGTTGCTTCCAAAACGTACATGTCAACCCCACTCGCAGCACGGAAGCATTCGTGTATCATTTCATCGCGTTGACTGCATCATCATATGCTTGCATGCCGTACGCGCTCGTTTTGTACTCAAGCGTATCGTTATGCTGTACCAACGTCGGAGTGATGCATAGATGCCAAGTGCACTGCGTGGATGGCGGTTGTCGTTGTCGGCTTGGAAAGCGTTGCTTCCAAAACGTACATGTCAACCCCACTCACAGCACGGAAGCATTCGTGTATCATTTCATCGCGTTGACTGCATCATCATATGCTTGCATGCCGTACGCGCTCGTTTTGTACTCAAGCGTATCGTTATGCTGTACCAATGTCGGAGTGATGCATATATGCCAAGTGCACTGCATAGATGGCGGTTGTCGTTGTCGGCTTGGAAAGCGTTGCTTCCAAAACGTACATGTCAACCCCACTGGCAGCATGGAAGCATTCGTGCATTGCTTTATCGCATTTACAGCATTATTGTTCGTGTGTATGCAATTGATGGGTGCTTTTGAAAGGTTGATGCACACCTCTTTGATTCTACCGCCGTATTCATCGACGATGGAACTATAGGAATTGTGCACAACCCACCCGAGCAACCATAGACTATTGCACATCGTCCTCATGTCCCATGCCTTCACATCCGCATACACTAATATTGTAAGCCCTCAAATCTCGTGCCTCATAACTCGCGCCCTCATATCTCATGCCCCTATCTTCCGTGCCCTCATACTCGTGCCCTCATTTCTCGTGCTCTCATACCCTGTGCCCTCAAAACCCGTGTTCTTATATCTCGTGCCATTACACACCGTGCCCTCATATCTGCGCATTCGTATTACGTGCCGTCATAATATCCAATACCCAGTATCCCGTTCCCCCATATCATGTGCCCTCGTGTCTCGTGCCCTCCGTTCGCTCGTTTTTCGTGCCCTCATTTTTCGTGCTCTCATACTGCGTGCACTTATTGCGTTCCGTGCCTTCATGGCCTCTTTTCCTCGTATCCCATGCCCTCTTGCGTTCGCTCGCGTTCGGTGCCCTCGTGCCCTGAGATTCGATGTTACCAGTATTTGGTGCCCTGATATCCCATGCCCCTGTATCCAATGCCACGTAACCCGTATCCCTCGTATCCCTTGCGCACACATTCTGACCTCGTACCCTAAACCCTAGACCTCGTATTTCGTCTCGTGCCCTCGTATCCCGTGCACTCACATTCCGTGGCCCTATATCTTGTGCCCTTTAAATCCATCTGCCACCAAGCTATGTGCCACCGTACTCCGTGCCCTCGTTTTCCGTACCCTTATTGCGTGCGTTTGGTGCCCTCATAACCCCTACCTCCACACTCCGTACCTTCCTATCCCATGTTGTCGCCTACTGTGCCCTCGTATAAAGTCCAATCCTATCACAAGCTTGTTGACCGTGTTCTTTTGTGTTCTTTTTTGTCGTGTTGTTTTCGTGTAGAATTGTTTAACCGCCTACAATAAAAAGTGGGACGAAAATAAATCATTTTAGTTAAATAATTAAATAAAAAGGAATCGATAATAAAAAACATATTTTGAAAAACATGTAGAAATCCAATGCAATACACTATTGGAAAAAAGATTTTACGATAGATAACATGCAAAGTAACAAGGAACTATAGTTTTATTAATTAATAATCGTTCCAAACAAAAAAAACAAGCAACTATAGTTCTATTGATTAGGATTTATTGAAAAAAAGGGTTAAACAAACAGGTAAAAAAAAAAAACAAAAAAAAAACGGGCGCACGGAAACATGAAACCAAATTTATAAGGTTGCTACGCAACCCAAAAAGGAATTGGGTCGGAAGTCACAAAATTGAAACTAGGGTGATGTAAAGTCTGCGGACGGAAATTACCCTAGAGATTGTAAACGCATTCCGCTGCACCTCTGGGTAACCTTGTTTTGACCCAGTGGGTAGCGAGGCGTTATACTGGTATCAGAGCTTAGGGTTCTAATCCCGTTTGGACACATTTTCCGCGCACGGCTGAGGTCGTGGCGAGAACTCGAATGTGCGAAAATACAGCTGCGGTTGTATCAAGTCGCGAAGCCAGCGAACGATCCTGTACGTTGGCCTTGTCCACCAACGAAGTTGCTGGCTTGGAGCACCAGCGAAATGAGAGGTCCTTACGAGGGCCAACTCCCTGAACCAACGAGGACGTTGGCACCAGGGGGGACGAGTGTAACGTCTGCGGATGGAAATTACACTAGAGATTGTAAACGCATTCCGCTGCACCTCTGGGTAACCTCGTTTTGACCTAGTGGGTAACGAGGCGGTATCAGTGACGCGTAGGTAATTCCCCTAGAAAGACTACTGGCGCACATAAAAGATCTACTGGCACACATAAAATATCTACTAGCGCACTCCACAATCTATCCGATCCGACTAATTGACACAGTGATGGCGTCCTCTCCGCCTCTGCCCGTGCTTGAACTGTTACTGCACACTCTCCTAGCCCTTCACCTGTTAGATCGTCAAATCCTTCACGGCTTTTCCGGGTTCCCCTTCCTCGACGATCCTCCGGTCAGGTTCATGGTCAGGTTTGCAGTTTTCGTTTCTGATTCTTTCCTGCGTGGCTTTGCTACAGGCTCTGCGCACGCATCTGTTATCGATCTCCTCTCGACAATTTGCGAAAGACTGGCTTGAACTGTTTCGGCAATTTGCGTTCGGACGACCTAATTTCCCCCCGCTGTACCGCGCATCTGTACCATGCTGCAAGCTCTGGGAGAGTACTCGTGGGCATACAACACAGCCCCCTCTAATCTCAGGTACGTTGCACTATATTCCTTGCTTTCGTGTGCTTCTTAAGTCAGATTTGCGCAGCTCAAATTCTGCTGCTTCGATCTGCTGTCTTTCTCCCGTCCTTCGAACAGTATGGTCCATTTGCGACAGATCTGCTGTATATGTGCAGTTGCATGACGATTCTACTCTCCCCTCCCTTCACCCTCGCGAGTGTCCCCTGCGACCTCGCTATCTCTTGTGCCCTCGACCTGCCTATGCTTGCGCATGGCGTTTTGACTCGGGTTGCCACTCCGGCTCCCAGTCAGCCTCTCCAGAATGCTGTGGCCCTGGCCTATGCTTCCCTCCCTCTCTTCCTCCCACCTCCGTCTTCCCTCCGACTAACTTGGCCGCGTGGCTTTCTCGCATGTGTGTCGGGGATCCAATCTTTTTCCGCTTCACACCTCGGACTCGCTGGCTCTCCCTCTCCCGCTCGCTGCATCCCGCCGCGCCTCCGCTTTTCCTCCGTCCTCGCCAACCTCGGACGCACCAGCGATCTACCTCAGGTAAGCTGCGTGTCATTGTGTGTCTACGCGCGACTGATTCTATGCTTGCCTTCTCGCCCTCCGCCTGCCCAAAGCAGATCTTGTCGCAAGTACTTTTTCGGCCAGCACTACTCTTCCTCTCTCCCTCCCGACATCTGTGGCTGCAAGTGCTGTCCTTTCCTTTTCTTTCCCTCTTCTGCCAACTATCCAGCTTCGCGCTGCTTCCCTCTCACACGGTGAGCGTCCTCTTCCTCTTGGCCTCGGGACTCGGGCTGCCGCTCTGGCTCCCAGTCCGGTAACAGGGTTTGCTGTGGCCCTCGCCCACGCTCCCACTTCTCATTTACTTGGCATCCCCTTCGAGCCTGGCGCCTTGCCTTGGCCTCGTCCGTCACTCCTTTCTGCCCATTTATGCACTCTGCTTTTGTTACTGCCTCTCTTTCTCCTGTTTCCACTGCGTCTCGAGTGTTACGTTCTTGCTAGCGAGGTTTGTCACCATCTGCATCTTCACCCCCTCGTTCCCCCCTGCACACGCTGCGTTCTTTCACTTGCGGATTGTCGCAGCTTGCAACCTCGTTCCTTCGTCCCTCCCTGCTGTTGTCCCTCTCCCCACTCTTGCTCCTCCGCTTCCCACGTCTGCGCCCTTCAATGCTTACCTCAGTCCGTGTTTTACGCCCCCAAAAGCTGTGACCTCTGTCTAGGCCGCTTGGCGCTTCGCGCGACCCAGCTCTTGCCGTGGCCCCTGCCTCTTTTGCCCATCGATCAGTCACCTCCCTCACCCCCCCGCCTCGGCCCTGTCCTGGCTGGTTCCCCCGCTTTCTGTCCTTCGGTTTCGTTGCACTGTCTTGTCTCCGTGGCAGCCCCTTGGCGTCCCTCGGTTCGAAGTCATTATGCTGCTCTCCACCACGGCCTTGGTGCAGTCGCCTTCGCCATCCCTCCTGCTTTTTCCCTGCTTTTTTCTTACCTCGTCCCCCTACCCTGGCTTGGATGTGGTGGCCTGGCCAGACCGGGCCGCCATATCCAGTCTTATCACTATCTCCTCTCCTCTACTTTGGTCTCCTCTGCTCGCGCTGCCCGCCTTGCCGTGGCCTTCCGGAAAAGCCCCAGCCGCGCCACAACCCCCCTACATCCACGCCTCTCGATGGGGGGGGCGCAAGCGAGCCTGTTTGTGCCCCATCCCGAGCTTGTCAAGACAGCTGCTCCCCCCTTGCTTGAACATTCTCCGCCTCTGCTCTGTCCCTTACTTCACTTACATTGCATACCGGCTACTCTTTTTTTTTTTTTTTTGCCCAGTGGATGAGTATGCTTTGGCATATTGGGGCCCACGTCTGGTTAATATGTTTGTAGGGCTGAGAAATGCCCTTAGAATCTTTCCAGAGACTAAGTCCCAGTTGTAAAAGACTTGAGTAGTGCACAGGGCTGACTTTTCAAAAAAAGGCACTCTGATTTTACCCCCAAAATAATTCCGCAAGTCTGAAGGACCATTTTCCAGATTTTGCTTACTCTGAAATCTCAGTATCCAAAAGTTGACTAGTCTGAAATACCCAGGGTTCAAAATGTCGAATCAGAGTCGGCACGTCTAAGTTGACGGAAAGATAAGGGCCGTAAATGATTACGTAGATTGACGGAGTCTGTACACACACACGTGGCCCCTTATCTAATGTGGCTCTGGGTGGGAACCCGACACCTGTTCAATCCCCCAAGTTCAAGTTCCCCCACAAAGTTCTCCACTTCCGAGTGTGCAAGTATGATGACGTGCAAAACTTCGTGGGGGCCAGGGCTTATTTTATCAGAGTAAATCACTCGGATTCTCTTGAAAATCAGAGTCGTTTTTGAAAACCACTCTGATGGTCCTGGGTAAAATTTTGAAAGTATAAGTTTTCTCTGATTTATAAGAGTTGGCCTATGTACCACCCTGAAGAGTTTTCAATGGGGGGGATGCTCCTAGATTTTTCCCTGTTCTCTCGGTATTCGGCTAAGTCCTCCGACTGCCAGTCACACCCCTCCCATACCCCACGTACCCTGGATAATTTTGACTAAGTCCTTCGCAACTGGTCACATCCCGCCTCATACCCGCCGTAACCTGGAAAATTTCGGCTAAGTCCTCTGTAACCAGTCACAACACACTTATTGTCAACTTATACATATTATCTATGTAGAAGTTATAGGCTAGACTGAGGTATGCTTCTAGTGAGTACAACCAACTAGTATTTGTTCTAGGTTTCCACCTCTAGTAATTATTCGTTTCTACGTTAACATGGTATCACGCTTAGGTTAGGATCCCCCCGCCTACCGCTTCCGCCCGTCGCGCCTCCTAGGCCCCGTCGCGCCCCCTAGGCCCCGTCACGCCCCCCCTGGGCCCCGTCGCGCTCGTTAGGCCCCGTCGCGCCCCCCCTGGGCCCCGTCGTGCCCGCTGGGCCCCGTCGCGCCTCCTAGGCTCCGTCGCGCTCCCCCTGGGCCCCGTCGCGCCCGCTGGGTCCCGTCGCGACCCCTAGGCCCTAACGCGCCCCCGCTGGGCCCCGTTGCGCCTCCTAGGCCCCGTCGCGCCCCCCATGGGCCCCGTCGAGCCCGCTGAGCCCCGTCGTGCCTCCTAGGCATCGTCGCACCTCCTAAGCCCCGTCGCGTCCCCCCCCTCTGGGCCCCGTCGCGCCCGTTCGGCCCCGTCGCGCCCCTCCTAGGCCCCGTCGCGCCCGCTGGGCCCCTTCGCGCTTCCTAGGCCCCGTCGCGCCTGCTAGGCCCCGTCGCGCCCCCCCTGGGCCCCGTCGCGCCCGTTAGGCCCCGTCGCGGCCCCCCTGGGCCCCGTCGTGCCCGCTGGTCCCCGTCGCGCCTCCTCGGCCCCGTCGCGCCCCCCCTGGGCCCCGTCGTGCCCGCTGGGCCCCGTCGCGCCCCTTAGGCCCCGTCGCGCCCGCTGGCCCCTGTCGCGCCTGCTGTTAGCGCTCGCCCGCCTGGCCTCCTCCTAGTGCCGCTCGGCCTCCTCCTAGTGCCGCCCGGCCTCCTCCTAGTGCCGCCCGGCCCCTTCCTAGCGCCGCCCGGCCTCTCCTCAGCGCTGCCCGGCCCCTCCTCGTGCCCGACCGGCCCCAGCAGCACCAGCCTGGCCCCTCCCAGCACCAGCCTGGCCCCAGAGCACCTGCCCGCCTCCCCTGCTCGGCCTGCCGTGTCCTCTCGGGCCCTGTGTCTTCTGCTTGCCTGCGCTGGGACGCCTAGCTGCTGCCCTACTGGAGAGTGCTGCCGCCGTGTCCCCGCGCCGCTGTGCTCCTGTGCCGCTGAGGAGCTGTGCTGCTGTGCCGCTGTGTCGCTGAGGAGCTGTGCCGCTGACCCTGCACGATGGCTGACTTTGTGCTCCGCCTGGACGCTGAGGGCCACGCGGTTGACTTCGCCGCCTGGCTCTCCGATCTTCGCCGCCAGCTTACAGGTCAGCGCCAGGATGGCCACTCTCTGGTTGTCCATGCTGATGGCTTGCTCCCCCGTCCCCCTGCACCTACTCCCCTCCCTGCTGACCCCTCCTCTGATGACCGTGAGGCTTTCTCTACTGCTGCGCTGGCCTGTGCGGTCTGGGACTCACGCGATGCAGTAGCTCAGGTTGCTATTAGTCACGCCCTCCCTATGTCTGAGCGCTCGCGTTTTGCTACTGTTGAAACGGCCAAAGCTTATTTAGAAGCCGTTATTGCTCGCTATTCCACCCCTGCCTCCGCTTCTGCTGGCCGCTTGCTCTTTCCGATGCTGTTCCCAGACCTGGCTGCCTTCCCTACTGTCGCAGATTTTGCCACTCATTTGCGTGCCCTAGAGACTCGCTATCGCACTGCCAGCACTGCTGCCCAGCTCACTGCGCTCCCCCCTCCTTTCTGCATGACGCTCTATTTTATCGCTATGCGCCTGCCAGACCGCCTCGCTAGTGCTCGCGACCACTTTCTTAGCCAGCACCCGGGTGACCTCACCCTGACCGCCTTTGTCGACACCCTCACTGAGATCGAGACTCGCCAGCGCACTATCGCTCAGTCGAGCGGTGCGCCGGCAGTCTCTATCTTTCACGACTGTGCCCCATCCCAGTGCACGTTCACTGACGTTTCGGCTGCGGTCGCCACGGCGACCCCTCTTACCGAGACGGCTGCTGCTGTCCACCCGCAGCAGCGCTCGCGTCGCGGTGGCCGTGGCCGCCAGGGAGGTAGGGGTGGTGACGCATGTGGTAGTGGTCGTGGTGGTGGTGACGGTAGTCCGCCTGAGGGGACTACCACCGGTGGGCAGGAGCAGCAGCCCCAGCAGCAGCAGGACCAGCCCCAGCCGCAGCCGCCGTCCCAGCAGCACCCGCCGCAGCCGTGGGCTCGTCTCCCGCCTGGTTGGCCCGGCACCTCCGGAGGCGGTGGCCGTGGTGGCGGCCCGCGCAGCTTGGCGTCTACCAGCGGCTCCAGTGCTGTGACCTGCCAGTACCAGCTTCAGACTGGGCCTCTCCGCGGCACTCTGTGCCGCCGCCCGCACCCGACCGCCCGCTGTTTCCGCCGCCTCGACGATCTTTTTCGTCGTCGCTTTGGCCCGGCCCCGGACCTCCCTGACTGGCACAGCCTGCTCCGCCAGGGCGTGCCGATCTTTGAGTTAGACATGGATCAGATAGGTGCTGCTTTGCATGCTTTGTATGCTGACGCTTCTAGTGTTGCTGGATCTTACTACCCTGTGTACTCTAGTTTAGGTGTTTCACCCTTGTGTAGCTTAGCTTCCCCTGCTGCGACAGGCGTAGGACTGCCTAGGTTGCCTAGTCTAGTCGCTGCACCGGCTCCGTCCCCGGCCTCCGCCACTGCGTCGCTGTCCTTCACTCTCGACTCTGGTGCTTCTGCCTGCTTCTTCCGCGACCGTTCCACGCTCACGCCGCTTGCTGCACCTGCTGTTGTCTCTCTCGCTGACCCCTCTGCGGGTCCGGTCGTCGCACGCAGTTCTACGTCCCTTCCCTGTCCGGCAGTTCCCTCGGGCTCCCTTACTGGCCTCCACGTTCCCTCGTTCTCCAGGAACCTGGTTGGTGTCGGCTGTCTCCAGGACCTCGGCGTCACCACCACGTTCCCCGGGCACGAGCGGTTCGCTGTCTGTTCTGAGGCTGTCTCAGGTTCCCCCCTTGCGACGTTCCCCCGGGACCCGGTGTCCGGTCTGTTTACCCTACACACCGCTTCCCCCCCGGTTGGTGCGTCCTCCCAGGTCGCTGCAGCTTGCTCGTGTCGGTCCCTCACTCACCCCTCCCTTCTCTGGCACCACCGCTTAGGTCACCCTGCACTCCCGCGTCTGCGTCACATGTCCCAGCACGGTCTTGTCTTAGGTCTCCCCGCGTCGCTCCCTGCCCTTCCTCCCTCGACTGCGCCACCGTGCACGCCTTGCGTCGAGGGTCGGCTCCGCCGTGCTCCTCACTCCTCCTCGCTGCGTCCTGCTACTGCCCCCCTTCAGACCCTGCACTTGGACGTTTGGGGCCCTGCCCCCGTCCCCGGACCGCGCGGTGAGCGCTACTTCCTTGTGCTCGTCGACGACTACACGCGCTACACCACGGTGTTTCCCCTGGAGCGGAAGGCCGACGTGCCCGACGTTCTTCTCCCGTGGGTTGTGGCTGCGCGTCTCCACCGCGGTCTCCCCGTGTTGTGTCTCCACTCCGACCGTGGCGGCGAGTTCGCCTCTGGTCGGCTTGGACAGTTCTGTCGTGCGGAGGGCATCACCCAGTCGTACACGTTGCCGGACTCGCCACAGCAGAATGGGGTTGCTGAGCGCCGCATCGGCTTGGTCATGGAGGTCGCCCGTACCTCCATGATCCATGCCGATGCCCCCCATTTTCTGTGGCCGTTCGCTGTTCGCTACGCGGCTCACCAGCTTAACCTGTGGCCACGCTCCCAGCGGCCGCAGGTTTCGCCGACCCTCCTTTGGACCGGGTCCCCCGGTGACGCGTCTGCGTTCTACGTCTGGGGCTGCCTTGCTCACGTTCGTGCCTCTGGCACGGACAAGCTCACTGCCCGCACTGTCCCCTGTGTCTTCCTCGGTTTCCCCCTGGACTCGTCTGACTGGCTTTTCTACCACCCGCCGTCTCACCGCTTCCTCCACTCTCGTGACGTCACCTTTGACGAGTCCGTCTCCTTCTACCGCCGCTTCCCTCACCGAGGTCTCCCAGTTGCCCCCCCCCTTTTCCTTGCTCCCTCTCCCCCGGTAGCCCCTGCCCCTCTCCCGCCTCGTCCTGCCCCGTCTGGTGTCTCCCACGTCACTCCCCTCCCGTCGGTTGTCCCCGTTGAGGAGTCTGCTGACTCTGGTGGTACCCCCGGTCCGTCCTTGCCGCGTCCCCCTTCCCCGGTGCCTCCGCCCCCACTGTCGCAGTCGCCGACCCCGCTGCCGCCGCCGTCGCCGTCGCCGCCGCAGCAGTCGCCGCTGTCGTCGCCGCCGCCGCCGCTGTCGCTGCCGCAGCCGTCGCCGCTGTCGCCGCCGCCGCAGCCGTT